TGCTATGCTGGTGTAAAAAAGAAAAAAAAAAAACTCTTGCCATTTTCAGAAACATGGATGGACATGGAGATCATTATGCTAAGCGAAATAAGCCCGTCAGAGAAAGATAAATATCACATTATCTCACTCATTTGTTGAATATGATGAACAATATAGACTGATGAACAAAAATGGATCCAGAGACAGAAAAGCACTAAACAGACTGTCAAACCTTAGAGAGAAGGCAGGGGAGGTTGGGGTGGGTAATGTAAGAGATCAACCAAAGTACTTGTATGCATGCATATTAGCATAACATATGAACACGGACATTGGGTTGGTGTGGGCTTGTCCTGGGTCATGAAAGTGGCATGGAAGAGGTTGACAGGGGAAAAAGGAGACATATGTAATACTTTAAACAATAAAAATAAATAAATATAAAATAAATGATGCTGGGAAATTTGTATAGATACATTAAAAAAATAAAAAGGAAACTAGACCACCAACTTACACTATACACAAAAATAAGCTCAAAATGGATAAAATACTTAAATGTACTTAGTGAAACCATAAAACTTTTAGAATAAACGATAGGCAGAAAAATTTCAGCCATCTCTCATAGCAATATGTTTAGAGATACATCTCTTAGGTCAATGGAAACTAAGGAGAAATAAACAAATGGGACTACATCAAAATATAAAGCTTCTGCACTACAAAAGAAACTGTCATCTAAATAACAAGAGATCCCACTTTATGGGATCATAAACATATTTACCAATGATATATCTGATAAGGGTTTAATATCCAAGATATATGTGGAACTCATACAACTTAACAAATGGAAGACAAAGGATCCGATTAAAAAATGGGCAAAAAACCTAAATAGACACTTCTCCAAAATGGACATTCAGAAAGCCAAGAGACAAATGAAAAAAATGCTCAAAATCACTAGTTATCTGAGATATGCAAAACAACACAACAATGAAATATCACCTCACACCTGTCAGAATGGCTATCATCAACAAATCAACCAAAGACACTGTTGGCAATATTGTAGAGTAAAGGGAACCCTAGTACATTGCTGGATGAAATGCAGACTTGTGCAACCACTGTAGAAAACAGTATAGAATTTCCTCAAAAAGTTAAAAATGGAACTCCCATTTGACCCAATTATCCAATTTCTAAGAATATATCCTACAAAACTGAAACACTCTTCAGAGAGAATATATGCACCCCTATGTTCATACTAGCACAATTTACAATAGCTAAGACTTGGAGACAGCCTAAGTGCCCATCAGCAGATGATTGGATAAAAACCTGTGGTACATTTACACAATAGAATGCTATGAGGCAATCAAAAGAAAGAACTCTTACCATTTGCAACAGCATGCATTGCAAATGGTAAGAGTTTATCATTTGGACCTGGAGATTATTATGATGAACATAATAAGCCAGTCAGATCAAAATAAGTATCACATTATCTCACTCATATGTGGAATCTAATGAACCAAATAAACTGATGATCAAAAATAGACCCAGTGTCATAAAAGCTTGAATGACTCTTGAACATCAGAAGGAAGGCAGGGGAGTATAGGAAAAAGTAGGAAAAAGTCAATCAATGAACTTATATGTGTATATGCATAACATTGGAGATAGATAATGTTGAGGTGAGAGCCTGGGGCAGAGGAATGAGCTGGGAGAAGTATGTGAGGGGGAAAAGAAGAACATATGTAATACTTTCAACAATAAATATTTTAAAATAAATTAAAATAAAATAGAAACTGAATGTATGTTTGAATACAGGTGTTATAGAAGACTAGCTATTCCAAATGTCCTGATTCCAGCAACAAAACTGCTATATTTAAAAATGTATTTTATAAAGTGTAGCTGTAATGGCATAAAAATACTCTAGAGAACAATGTAATAAAAACATTTAAGTTAGGAATTTCTTCTAAAACTGTGCATGTGTGTGTGTGTACACTTTAAAATTAAATTAATAATATGTGTTGTGGGGGAGAAGATAAGGTGGGAATTTCCATAATAAAAATTAAATATAAAGAAAGCACAATAAAATATTTTGAAAAATACTTGTATAGAACATCAATACATATATGCTTATAACTACATATGATAAGAGCTGAGAAAGAGGAAATGTGATTTTAACAGAATAGAAAGGAAATCATTAGAATATAGTATTTTTATATGTGTTAGGTATTTTATGATGTTTTAAGTATTTTATAAAGGGTAAAATTAAAAAGTATACTATAAAACATTCTGAGCAATTAGATACTTATTTTACATTATTATATATTATTTTTTTACCTTGATTGTCATAGGATGAAAAATTGATGATGTTTGTTGACAATTTAGTTGGTGCAATAGGACTGGATAAAAAAAAATCATCTTGAAATGTGGACGTTTCTCTGTTTTTAAAGAAATTCATACCTAAAATTTAAAAAATTAAAAAATTTACAAAGATACTATGACTCTTCTCATGCTAGTTATTTCCCATGTATTATTTTTATTTCTGAAATTATATTTCTTTATTCATATGTTTGGTGGGCCTTTTGTCTATAATTCCAATTTCTATAAAATCTTCATTCATTTTCTAACCTTTTATTTGCTCTGGGTTCTTAGATAGCATTTTCCTTAATTTTGACCTTTAAACCAACCCCATTTTTACCTTAAACAAGAGTATTCAGTTCTATTTTTGACCTATAGTCTCCTTTCAACTCTTTTCCCTTTGACAATTTCTATCAAATAAATAGAGCATGTAATTGTTTAGAGCATTTAATTATAAATTCACCATATATATATATATATATATATATATATATATATATATATATATATATATATATGCCTAAGCAACTATTATGACGGGATGACCAGAACGACTAGTTGACCATTTGCTATGATGTGCACTGACCATCAGGGGAAAGATGCTCAATGCAGGAGCTGCCCCCTGGTGGTCAGTGTGGTTAGCCAAAAGCCAGGCTCACTGCTGGTGAGCACTGCTGCGACAGAGGGAGCCTCTCTTGACTCTGCAGCAGTACTACTGAATGGCAGCAGCAGCAGGCGCAGTGGGCTGGGATAAGTGCAAGCCGTGTGGTGCTGGCTCAGGCTCCTCCCTGGCTGCCTGCCACTTGGCACACTGTTACATCCCTTAGGAAATATCCAACTGCCAGGCCAGCTCTGGTCTGGGAAGAAACTGAATGTCAGGGAGCAGGCAAAACTAGAGAACAGCCTCCCCCCAAGTATTGCACACACCAGCAACCAGTGTTGCAGGACTTGCTGAATAGGACCCTCATAAGGCAGGCTGATGGGAAACCAAAGCTTGTCTGCACCAACCTGAGACTCCGCCCCATCCAAGCTGAGCACAGAAGCCCTCCTAGCTGAGACACTGCTGATCCTCACAGCCAATTGGCTTGGAGATCAATGCTTCCCAGTGATACCAACAACAAGTAAGGCTTAACAAGACTGCACACACAGCCCACAAAGGGCTGCACCAAGGCTGTCCACCTCAGGTAACTGGGAAGGCTGAGCTACTGGGCCCTGCTAGGACACCTAGGACACAAAGCTACTCCATCAACTCAGGGAAGCAGCTAAAATGCAAAGAGGCAGGACACAAAGGAAGGAAGTAGAGAAAAGCAAAAGAATGGACATAGAGTTCAAAACCACAGTTATAAGGTTTTTCAAGAATTTCTGAGAAAAGGCCGATAAAATAAGCGAGACCTATGAGGATATGAAAAGATACAACTAGAAATAAAGAATACATTGTCTGAAATAAAAATATTATACAGAGTCCTAAAAACAGAATGGAAGATCATAAGAATCAAGTCAAAGATTTAGAACACAAAGAACCAGAGGACACTCCTTCACAGAAGCAAGAAGACAAGAGAATTAAGAAAGTTGAAGATAGTATAAGAAGCCTCTGGGACAACTTTAAGTGAACCATCAGAATTATGGGGGGTCCCAGAAAAAGAGAGAGAGCAAGATACTGAAAACATATTGGAAGAAATAGTGACAGAAAACTTTCTCTACCTGGGGAAAGAAATGGACTTACTAGTCCAAGAAGCGCACAGAACCCCAAACAAAAGGAATCCAAAGAGGACCACACCAAGACACATCATAATTAAAATTCCAAGAGCAAAAGACAAAGAGAGAATATTAAAAGCAGCAAGAGAAAAGCAGGTAGTTATCTATAAAGAAGCACCCATAAGATTCTCAGCTGACTTCTCAACAGAAACCATGCAGGCCAGGAGGGAATGGCAAGAAATATTCAAGGTGATGAATAGCAAGAACCTACAGCCAAAATTACTCTACCCAGCAAAGCTATCACTCAGAATCAAAGGCCAGATTAAAAGCTTCACAATAAAAAAAAGCTAAAGGAGTTCATCACTGCCAAACCAGAATTATATGAAATGCTGAAAAGTATTCTTTAAGAAGAGGAAGAAGATAAAGATAAAAATTGTGAACAACAAATACATAACTATCAACAAGTGAATCTAAAAACAAGGGAATTAAAAAATCTGATGAACAGTATTAACTGGTGAATATAATAGAATTGGAGGTATAGAAAGGAAGTGGACTGACAATTCTCGGGGATAAGGGGAGTCGGGGGTGAGGGAAGAGACTGAATAAAAATTGTACACCTATGGATGAGGACAATGGAGGGTGGGGAAATGGAAGAGGGTGGGGTAGAAACCTGGTGGAGGGGAGCAATGGAGGGCAAAAAGAGGAACAATTGTAATAATCTGAACAATAAAGATTTATTTTAAAAAGTATTCCAAGGTCATTAGAGCATTGGATTTTATGGATTACCTTATAATTTGATGAATTTAAAGCCAATAAAGCCTCACTAGCTTTCTATTGATAGTAAACACTAGAGTTTACCTGATTATAAGAGGGAATTCATTAAAAATTTTACCCACGTAGTTACTGTTGTTATTAAAGATCCATACTTAGTTAAATCTTGGAGGAGACATAATCTATAAATATTAAACTTGAAAAATTATTCTTACCAGCATAACTTTTAAGTTGTTCCTTGATTTCAGCAATTATTTTTTCTTTTCCGACAGTATCTGTCATAGGTTCTGTAACAATCTCTATAAACATAAAACATATTTCAAAAACACTTTTTATGGTAACCATTAATAAATAAGTGTGATTATGTCTGTGGTACTACTTAATTAGTATTTTCTATTGAAAAAAAGATCAACTTCTGACATTATACATTCAGAAAAACTTAGAATTTGAAGAGCTCTTAGTAATTATATGAGCCTCATTATTTGGAGGCTTAGAGATTTTTTGTGATTTGATCAAGAACACATATCAAGATAATGATAAAATTGACATATAAACTAATGTCCCATAATTCATTCATTTTTCTATGTAATGCTATTTCCTATACAAACTTAAAATCATTTTGGTGAGTTTACATTCATAATACAACTTCCAAGTTTATACTCAGTGGACATTCATACTTGTAAGAGTATACCCTTTGAGGTGGAGCATAACATTTTTGTTCACAAGTCAAATCACAAACAAAGGTCCCAGATCACAGAAAGTTACTGTGAGGCAGAAATTCTTTGACTCTCTTAAGACTATTTTATGCACTTTTTAGGCTATGTTATTGTAAATTAAAAGAAAAATAATATATTCTGTGGTCTAAGAACAAGTGCCTACCAGGTTCCTTTAATACATATACATTATAGCTGGGGAGAGGTAAAATTTACAGCAATATAGTTAATCCTCAACTTCATAGACTTCAATTTAACTGACTTTGGATTTAACAAACAAAATTTCCAGTCCATATGTCATATAGGAAAATTTACACATTGTTAATTTTAAAATGCTTTTAACCAACATTTGATTATAAATAAATTAACAGGTCATTTTCTTATTATTCACTGTTACTTTTTTAAAAAAAACAAATTTTAGCAAATAGGCCATAGGTTAGAATAAAACACTGTAGTAATTTTGCTGACATAAATATTACATATCTACAGCTATAGTCTACATATTTAAACCCAAGAGTCACCATGTGTAAACAATGGTCAGTGAATGATTATCTCATGACCATGTTGCATGGCACAACTTTTTTCAGCAGTTTTAACATGTGCTGGATGGCCAATGTTCTGACTTGCACCGGCCATGCCCCAGCCATATGCATTTGTTTACTCACAGTGACTGGTGAATGTATACATTCAGTATGAATTTAAAATTACTGTATTAGTCGAAACCGGTTTGGCTTAGTGGTAGAGCGTCAGTCTGCGGACTGAAAAGTCCCAGGTTTGATTCTGGTCAAGGGCATGTACCTTGGTTGTGGGCATATCCCCAGTAGGGGGTGTGCAAGAGGCAGCTGATCGATGATTCTCTCTCATCGATGTTTCTAACTCTCTATCCCTCTCTCTTTCTTTCTGTAAAAAATCAATAAAATATATTTAAAATTACTGTATTAATTTTTGTGAAATTAAGTTTTTCATATATACTAAATTTTAATTACACAAATGTGTCTACATAAGTAAAAACAGATAAATGTTATCTAATTTGTCAAATTTTTAATATATATATTTGGAAAAACCTACTTTTTTATATAACAGAATTTCAGCTTTAATGGATACCCCCTTGCCTGAATTAGTCCATTATATTGAGGTTTTACTGTACCAACATTGTGATTGCAGCTATTTGATTTTTAATTTGATTTGACATTTGCTGAATTTAAAAGCTAATTAGGTAATATGAAAGTATATGAGTGTTATTAAAGAGGAATTTATATTGAATACGGGATTATTAGAATAGGTGACTTCTGCCAAACAATGTATTTAATGTTTTGTGAATGAAAGTTGGTTGTAGGAGAGCAAGTACCAAAGGTAGGAAACCTGTTATGAACCTGACAATATAAAGTGGATAGATGTGTTTTTTGAAACGCTTGAGACCATGAAAGGGAGAGACAAAATGGTGATAGAACAGACAGATGTTTCCCGAGCCTTGTCCCAGAGCAGATAGAACAGCTGAAACGAAATAACATCCAACCCGAATTGGCAAAGGAGACTCAGGGCACTGCAACCACATGAGCAGCAGACACACGAGCAACCCACTCCTGTTCAAAGAGCAGCAGTCCCATGAGCAGCCCATCCCCTGAGCAGCAGCCTCACATGGCCTGCCCCTGTCCAAGGAGCAGCAGCTGTATAAGTGGCCCACTCCCCTGTCTGAGAAGCAGCAACAACGTGAGCAGCCTGACCCATCTGAGGAGCAGCAGCCACAAGAGCAGCCCACCTGCACTGGAGAAGCGGCAGCCCCATGCAGTCCGTCCCCATTCGAGAAGCAGCAACTGTGAGCAGCCCACATTGTGCACCGTCCAAGGAGCAGCAGCTGCTTGAGCAACCTGCCCCTATCCAAGTATCTGCAGCCACACAAGCAGCCTGCCCCCATCTGAGGAGCAGCAGCCCTGTGCAGCCCGCACTGCTCCGAGGAGCAGCAGCCACACGCAGCCTGCACCAGTCTGGGTCTGATGAGCAGCAGCTGGCTGAGCGGCCTGCCCTCAGCCAAGGAGCAGAAGCCACATGTGCAGCACTCTCCTCTCTGAGAAGCAGCAGCCACACAAGCAGCCCATCCCCTGTCCAAAAAGCAGCAGCTGTGTGAGAAGCTGAGCCCTGTACGAGGAACAGCAACATTGTGAGCAGCCCACCCCCATTTGAAGGAGCAGAAGCTGCCCAAGCAATCTGCCCCAGACCAAGGAGCAGCAGCCAAATGAGCACACCACCCATGTCCAAGGATTGGCAGCCCACACCAGTCCAAGGAACAGCAGCCACACGCAGCCTGAACCTAACTGACAAGCAGCAGCTGAGTGAGCTGCCCACCCACATCTGAGTAGAAGCAGCCACAAGAGCAGACTGCCATATCTGAGGAGCGACAGTCCTGCGCAGCCCACATTAATCCGAGGAGTAACAACCACACATAACCTGAACCTGTCCAATGCGCAGCAGCTGGGTGAGCGGCCCACCACCATCCAAGAAGTAGCCGCATGTGCAGCTCACTCCCACCTGAGGAGCAACAGCCAAGCAAGCAGCCAGTCCCCCATCTGAGGATCAGCAGCTGTGCGAGGAGCCTGCACACATATGAGGAGCACCAGCCCAGCAAGAAACCTGCCCCTGTCCAAAAAGCGGCAGCCTCATGAGCAGTCAGCCCCATCTGAGGAACAGCATCAGTATGCAGTCATCCCTGTTCCATGGAGCAGGAGCTACGAGAGTAGTCCACCCCTGTCCAAGGAGCAGCAGCCACGCAAGCATCCCACTTCCCAACCAAGGGTCAGCAGCTGTGTGAGAAGCCTTCCCCACCAGCCAGAAGAGACACCACTGCTGCTAATAGCACCCACCAGAGGAGCCTCTGCCATTTGAGGAGCAGACATTTCAACGACCACCTGAGAAGCAACCACAGCCTGAGGAGCCACTGCCACCCAAGAAGCAACCCCTGCATGACTCTATATCTACATCAATCGGTGAAACAAAAAATGGGTAGACAGAGAAACCCCCAAAGGAAAGAAAAGGAGAAATTGCCAGAAAAGCAGCTAAGCAAAAACAGAGGCAGCAATATGTCAGAAAAAGAATTCAGAATAAGGGTCATACAGTTCATAAAGCAGATGGAGGAAAAAATCAACAACTTAAAAATTAATAACTTATGTAAGAATCAAGAAGAAATAAAGAGTGATATAGCTGCAATAGAAAACACTATGGAAAGTTTCAACAGTAGACTAGGAGAAGCGGAGGACTGGATTAGCAAATTAGAAGACAGGGAAGCAAAACACAACCAAAACAAACTTCAATTGGAGAAAAAAAAAATTAAAAGACAGGAAGAGAGACTAAGGGAGCTATGGGACAACATAAAATGAAGAAACTTATGAATAATAGGGGTGCCAGAACTACAGGAAGAGGAACAAGGGTTAGAAAACTTATTTGAAGAAATAATGTCAGAAAACTTCCCTGATGTGAAGAAAAAAGTAACACAAGCTCAGAGAGTCCCAAACAAGATTAACCCAAAAAGACCCACACCAAGACACATCATAATAACAATGGCAAATGTTCAGGTTAAAGAGAGAATTCTAAAAGCTGCAAGAGAGAGACAGAAAATTATATACAAGGGAGCTCCCATAAGATTATCAAATGATTCCTCAACAGAAACACACCAGGCAGAAAAACAATGAAAGAAAATTTACAAAGCGATGCAAAGTGAGGGACTGAATCCAGCAGGGCTATCATTCAAAATTGAAGGGGAAATAAGCAGCTTCACTGACAAAAAAAGGTTAAGTGACTTTATCACTACCAAGTCAGAAATGCTAACGGGACTTGTACAAAAAGAAGAAATAAAAAGGTAAAAAAGAACACAGGCACAGAAAATAAAAATGGCTACAAACAATTACCTTTCAATAATAACTTTAAAAGTAAATGTTCTAAATGCACCAATCAAAAGACATTGAGTGAGTGAATGGATAAAAACCAAACCAAACCAAACCAAACCAAACCAAACAAAACAAAAACATGACCCATATACATGCTGTCTACAAGAGACCCACCTTAGAACAAGGGACTCACACAGACTGAAAGTGAAGGGATGGAAAAATATCTTTCAGGGAAATGGAAATTAAAGAAAAAAAAAAAACTGGTGTGGCAATACTTATATCTGACAAAATAGACCTCAAAGTGAAGGCCATAACAAGAGATACAGAAGGCCATTTCATAATACTAAAGGGATTGATACAACAAGAGAATATAACCCTGGTAAACATATATGCACTCAATGGAGGAACACCCAAATACATAAAAAATTGGAAGATATCAAGGGAGAGATCAACAACAATAAAATCATAGTAGGGGACTTTAATACACCACTGACATCACTGGATAAAAACTCCAGAAAAAAATATCAGCAAAGAAACAGAAATCCTAAATGACTCACTAGATCAGATGGAATAACTTGACATCTTTAGAACATTTCACCCAAAAGCCATATAATATACTTTCTTCTCAAGAGCACATGGGACATTTTAAAAAATAGACCACATATTGGTCACAAGAAAAGTCTCCCTAAGTTCAAGAAGATTGAAATC